AGATTGCGTTACTGTTTGAAGTTAATTGACGTTCTATTTAGCATAACTGATATTCCTCAATTATGTTGATATTCTGTTTGAAATCATTTTGCAATAAGTGAAGAAAGGTATTTTTACTTTGAATTGTTCCTATATGATATGAATATTGTTTTACAAAGATCGAAGATATTTAAAACCGAGGAATGACAAGCAATACAACTAATGACCGAAATTGAGTGGAGCTTTGCATTTGCATAGATTAAATGGTACAAATTGTCGCGCAAAATTGTAGCGTTGCAAGTTGCAGAGCGAATGCTGCTCGTATTACCACACCGCGCGCAACAAAATGTCTTTGTTGCAAAGAGTAGAGAGAGCTTTTACTTCGTGCAAGAAAGTCGTGCAGCAAATAGTAACATTTACTCTGCAACTTGCAACGCAGCAATTTTGCGCGACAAGTTGCGCGATTTTGTTGCTTATTACTGCACCTTTAAAAAGTCTAATTTTATTTTTTGCGATACTCTGATGCTCAGTTAAATCCTTGCATTCAATAAGTCATTTGAAAAAATGTTTTTTCATACACTCGCCCGCTTTCATTTTTGGGGCCGCCTGTTTCTTATAGTTATAGTTATTATTATTATTTCTGTTCGAATAGATTTCCTGTACCACTAAAAACAAAATTCTGAGAGCTTTCGCGAAAGTTAACTCATAATTATACAAGAAATAATATCACTATTTATCTTAATTTACTTTAAGCAGAGCAAGTGCAACTTTTTCGGCAAAATTCCACGATCTTTTCAATGTAAGGTGCTTTCCTCTTGGACTTTATGTCTTCTGTCGATATCTCRAAGTTCTCACATATCTTCTTTAGCATTTGAATTGCAAACTTGGACAAGGTTGAATTTCCAATGTGCTCGCATAGGTTGAGGTTCTCAAAATATATGGGGTGTGTAAGCGCGACATCATCCATGACTTGGTCGCTTAACTCGGTGAATGCTTTCTCTTTGTAAACGTTTTGTTGCTCGATGTCGAGATCTRATATCTCATCGGGAAGGGTTTTCTTAGATGCCATGCGTGAGAAAAAGCCTGTGATCTGCTTGCTTGTCAAGAATTCTTCGTTAGAAAATAAGCGATTACCGTCAGTGTCCCTAGCGGTCATCATGTCTTTAGCTACTGCTGCGGCATTTACTTTGTGGCCGGTCTTTTCCCCAATGTGGAATTGAATGGACAGATACTCCTTTTGCTTCTGCGAAAACCTTTTGGTTGAGCTTGACTTTAGAGCCCAGCCAATCGGCAAAGATGGTTCTAAACTGCTACTTTTGGTTTTCGTGAACTGATGCATCTGAGGAACATTGCTGAACTGTTCTTCTAGTCTTACTGCGTACTCGCATGCTGCTTTATCATAAAGGGTCTCGTGCTCTATTGCTCTTTGATGTTTTCCCACATCTAAATGGTGTTGCAGCGCTGAGAATCGTTGGTATGTTTTAACACATCCTTCTTCAGGGCATGAATAGAGAAGACCAGTCGTGCAACCATCTGATGCTGATTCGCTGCTCTCACTTGAACAGGCAGCAGAACTTTTTTGGACCTTTTCTGCGGTTTTAGTCTTGGCTGTGATGAAGTTTCCGCCAGTAGCAACATCGACGTCCATGTATTCAGAGTTTTTGACAAGTTCTGGAACCTTGACATCTTTTGCACAAACGAGGCTAGCAACTGATATTTTCTTTCCTGGACCGATTCCATAGGCTTTCCAGACTTTCATTTTCTGGCTATTGATATACTCAATGTTCGAAAACAAACTAACGCCCTCCAACTTTACTGACAATGGAGCGGAATCTTGTATTGCTACTTGATCTGACAGAGTAACGCGAACTCCAGGTATACCACCAGATGAGTGGATAGCCTCGACCATTTCCTTGGCCGTTTCAATATTGTGACCTTCGTTTAGGTGAACCCTCATGTGCGATTTTATGGAGGCCGCCTTTCTGTCATATGGGCCTTTGCCGCCCTGGGGATCTGAAAAGTCCATGCGCTTAATAGAAACCCCATGGAACTGCTTTTTAAAGGCAGCACCAACAATCGTAGGGCCGGAATGATAGCAGCCGGCATTATCCATCCTGTAATAGACTGACTTTAGCTGCGGTATCAATCCCTTCAACTGGCCAACCACATCTTTCATGACTGCAAGAATGGCAAAACTGTCCTGAGTGCATGTTGGGAAAACGTGTACAAATGTCATGGTTTGGAATTCTTGATCTGTGGTCTTTCGGACAGCCACTGTCACGTGCCAGGGAATTCCCCTCTTTGCAAACCAGTCGCTTTGGCTTTCTCTATACTTGCGTGGCAGAAACTTCATTGCCCAATCTTGTACCAAATACACTGACTTTTCATCTAGGTTGTCAAGCACATCTGATCGTGCGTCGTCCTGGTTAACTGACCGTAGAAGATGTGATTTCCATGCGAGTATCTTCTTCTTAGCTTGAGTCGTGACAAAAGTCAACTCTTCCTTGATGTCAGAACCGACGTTACGTGAGGACATTTCTTGGACGACACTTTCGACTTCATTTAGGACAGATGCAAGTAACTCACAGCGATCGCAGGTATCTAGATGCTTGTGGGCACAAATGGACTGAAAATCTTTGTCCTTCGCATCACTCAAGGCATACATTCGACAATGATCTGGAACAGTCGACTCCTTTGCTACGTGAACCTGTGTAGAAATAACGTATAGTTAATCGATGCGTGTATACTAAAATTGCGTCTTTTGTAAGCTCGGATTATTACCTTGAAATCACTTTTCAAGTACCGTTTAGATGATTTCAGCTCCAGCTTTCGTTCCTTAGCCCACGTCATACCTTTGAAACAATCTCCTAGTCTTTCTACCACTTGACAAAGATCGTCAAATGCCTGACCTCCTTCGGAACTTATATAATCAAGCCCCTGTAAGGACTTCTGTACTGAGGCTGGACAACTGGAAAGAATCCTTAATAGCGTCCTACGGCTCATGGGTGTGAATCCAATTTCTTCTGAGTATGCCAAATACTGCTTTACTATCGACTCAGGTATCATCATTCGAATGACATTGGGTACGGTTATCACCTCCTTCGTAGACAGTTTTA